TCTCTCTCTCTCTCTCTCTCTCTCTCTCTCTCTCTCTCTCTCTCTCTCTCTCTCTCTCTCTCTGTCTCTCTCTCTGTCTCTCTCTCTGTCTCTCTCTCTGTGGTTACAATTCTGCCTGACTGGCAGTTCATAGTTTGACCATTGCCTGCAATTTTGTCAGTTTTTTCCAACCAAAACAGCACTGGGTAAGGCCTCTATCTTTCTTTCTTTCTTTCTTCTTCTTTTTTTTTTTTTTATTTATTATTATTATTATTAATTTTTTTTATCCATGGTGTTGTAGAGGCCAGTCATTGAGTACACAGTGATCACCTGGAGCAATAGGCCGTGGGTGTCCTGGAATATGAGACCACCTCCCATCCCATCCTCACGTCAATACTCCTAGCGCACCCCCTATCCCACTATCCTACCTCAGTGTGACCAGCACTCAGGACCATTACCCTACCAAGGGGGGGGGAAAAAAAAGGGGACGCTGGACCCAGTATCCAGCGTTAAACAAGCGGGGTAATGGCCCCAGTATATGATATGGATTGAATCGTGAGCGCCTGATCCTCAAAGCTTATTTTAGGCAATTTGCAAAAAAAAAAAAGAAAGCGCCACGATCAATGCTGTTAATCCCCTCACGTGTGGGCAATCAATGCCGTCCTGCTCAGCATATTAGTCTCTCCATTTTCATTAATGGGATGCTGGACACCTTTTCCAGCAGGTGTAGCTCCTGCTAATAGATAGGAGCAAGCATAGCAGGAGAGCCTACTCGTGGAGGTTGCTCGTATCATCTCTCCATTTTCATTAACGGGACGCGACGCAACCTCCACGAGTAGGCACTCCTGCTATGCTTGCTCCTATCTATTAGCAGGAGCTACACCTGCTGGAAAAGGTGTCCAGCGTACCGCTGACACTCCGTACCCACCTGGGCCTCCCACCAGGATGGCTGGCGAGGCAACACACACTCCCCCTCCCCGGGGGGACACGGAAGGCCATAAGGTGGGCTCGACATGGAGAGACAAGGTGGCCGGCCAGGCCGCCCTGCGGGAAAAGATCCCTGCCCCCTCCACTGAACCATACTCCTCGACCGCCGACGGAAGCGCCCCTGCCCAACTACTCAGGGCGCTGTCGGCTCCGGGGACCAACGACCCCCGACAATCCTCGACTCTGGCACCCATGTCCCCGCTTAAAAGCCACTTCATCCAGCAACTGTATGTGGAGCCGGACAGAAAATTCCAGGTTAGAGATGGCTACATCTACCCCCATGCCATCTTCCCCGCCCAGGCACTGGCAATCCGTAATGACATCTACTCTCACAAGGCCGTGCACTATCGCTTTCCGGCATCCTTCACTTCGACCTCGGTCAACGATAAGATCAAATGAATCTCTGACAAATTGGGGTCCATAAAAGCAGATAAACAACTTGTTCAGGACCATTTCCTTCTTGAAGTGGAGACCTCGGATTGTATCACGGTGGTGGCCCTTTACACAACCGACAAGCACCTCCTCCTCAAGAATAAAATCTTACACTTCAGGGGCTACCCGGTCCACGTATCTTCGTGGTCTCCGGCCAACCCCCTCTCCACTGATGACAGGCAGGAATTCTTGATGACTTCCAACTTCTGGGTGGAATTCAGATTCGCTCCCCTTTGTGTGCAGGGCGCCATTCTGACTGATCTGGAAAATATAGCCCCGGTCAAAGGCTATATCACAGACCTCCCTCAATTTCTGGGTAGGAGGGACGACTCGCTCCTCGTCGCAGTGGAATGGGATCCTGAATATCCCTTCCCCCTCAATGGAGAATGGAGGTATTCCCAGGGGGGAAGGGAGCACTCGGTCCCGGTCAGCCACACCCAAGATCCCTGGTGCTATGCCTGTAAGGCAAGAGGGCACCTCTGCACTGATGAACTGTGCCCCAACTCACAGAGACAAAAGATTAAAGGCCTGGTCATCCCCCACCCATCGGATGAAGAGATCTGGTATCCTGAAGACAAAGCCCATCAAGGATGGGTGCTTAGGGTGTATGCAGACGGTCGACCTGGGACATGGCTGTGGCAAGGGACCGGCCACCCGGGCGCCTTCCCTGCAGGGGCTCGACACGTCGTCACGGATGACTCCAAACAGAAGGGGAAACGACAGTCCACCTCAGAAAACGTGGCGCGAACCGCAAACAGCGAAGTGCCAGGGGAAGGGGGGGGAAGAGAACAACACAACCCTCGTCCGCACAGACACTCCACTCCCCACAAGTACGTGCCCAAACGGCGGACAGACCACAACCTGCCCCGTCCCCCCTTACAACAGCCGGTCGCACCTCACACAGACACAGCACGCAATGGCACCCCCATACTGGCAGAAAAAACCCGAGCCACAGACCAAAATCTGCCTTGTCCCCCCCAGCAACAACCTGCCATAGCTCACACGGACACAGCAAACCACGGTACTCCTGTGTCGATAGTGATGTCCCGTGCCTCCCGCGGTGGCAACAACGATGCCCCCGCCCCCTCGAAAGACGTCCGGAAGCAACAGCCGCGAGACAAAGGGGCGGACAAGGGGGTGAGAGATCGGGAACCGAACGCAGGACAAACGGGGAATCCAGCACAGGGGGTGCAGAACGGCGAGAGTGACGACCTGTCTCGACAACAGTCCACTCCCGCTGGCCAGCACCTCAAAGCATCGACCACCCTGTCATCCTCAGGACAGCAGCCCTCGATGGCAGGACCTTCGATGCCGCCGTGTGCTGACAGTGCCCTCGACCAAGGGCCTTCAGCCCGCCCGATGACATTGTCACCGCAAGGCATGTGGGGCAAAGCAAACTCTTTGCTTAATAAAATCAAAAGGGCTCCCCTTCTTCAGCCCCGGGTCCAACAACTGCTGGACCCGCCACCTTCTGATGCCCACGACCGCGGTGGCCTCAGCCCCCATGCCAGTCCACGGCCGCCATTGTCCGAGCCCACCCGCTTGAGCAGTCAGACCCCCGACCAGGCCGACCGGCCCCAGAAGCAGCTCACGTCTAAAGACGACATGGTGGCCCAGCAGCAAGCGCTACCAGGCGCTCAACAACAATCCCTGCAACAGCAGCTGCAACGCCAGCAAGAGGAACAACACTGCCAACTCCAGCTGCACGAGGAGGGGGCCCGACGACAGTTGCATGAGCAACAGTCCCGATGCCAGAATGAAAAGCAAGAGCAACAACACCTGCTCCCCCTTGAGGACCAGCGCCTCCCCATGCAAGAGGAACAGCATCACCCCCGGCTGCAACAGGAGCAAGATGCTCACCAACATGAGCACCATGATCACCAGCCATTGCTGCAACAACAATTGCACCTCCAGCACGAGGAACAAAAGCAGCAACAGGCCCAATGCCAACATGAGGGGCAACAACAACAACGCCTGCTCCTCCTCCGCCAGCAGGAGGCAGAGCAGCTCCGCCAGCAGAAGGTGGAGCAGCTCCGCCTCCGGCAGCAGCAAGAGCAAGAGGCTCACCAGCAACTGCTGCAGAAACAGTTGCACCACCAACACGACGAGCACGAGCAGCAGTGCCACATCCAACATCAACTTCAAGTCCATCACGACCAGGAGATCAAACAACAACTGCTGCAGCAGCAACAGCAACAGCTTCTCGGCCAGCTGCACCAACAAACTTACTTCGAAGAACAACTCCAGCTCTTGCTCAAGACACAGACGATGCAGAGCCACAACCAACAGCTGCAAGACAGAATGCTCCAACAGCAACACCTCCATCTGCAGTGGCAGCAACACCTTTGCTGTCAGCACCAGCAGATCCTCCAGCAACAGCAACACCAGTTGCAGGCCTATTGGCAAGAGGAGATGGCACAGCAAAACCAGCTGGCACAGCAGCAGCATCACCTCCCCCAGATGGAGTTCCCTGCCAGTACTGTACACGCCCTGCCTCTGCTGCCTGGCCCGGACCACTGCCGGCCGGCTTCTGATGCACAGGAAGTCAGGCCCATGGACACATCAGCTCCGCCAGACGACGATCCGGCCCACCTAGGAGGGCAACTAAACCGACAGCTCCCGCCCCCTCCTGCTGATGTGGATGTGGAAGCTTCCCCCGACACCCTGTCACTCACAGACCACGTTGAAGTTAAACAGAAGCTGCACTTCCTCACAAACTGGACTTTGATGAAGATCTTTTCCCTTACAGATGACAGGCCGGCTGATAAACTCAAAACCGGATATTGGGAGCAGGCTCAGAACGTTCTCATGCACAGCCCACGGACTCTGGCCACGGTCCAAAAATACAATGACGTCGCCACTATAGATTGGATGGATGTAGGGGCGGCCATAGTGTTCGTCGTCAATGAATTTCTGGATAAAATGGAATCATTCGCCACTGGCAGACAGAAACAAGTGGATGTGGCTGGGCATCCCGGTCCCCATCCCGCACAAGACGACGCGTTCCTCCATGAGGGCCTCCCCTGGCTGAAGCCTCTGGTTCATGAGCTCTGCAACACGCTGTATGGCCCGCCTCTTGACCAGTTGGAGCAGTTGGGTCAGCATAGCCCCCCGTCCGCAGGCCAGATTGTCCAGTCACAAGTTGTGGAACAGCGACCGCGGGTTCCTCTCGCCCGCCTCCGGCATGCAGATATTCTGCAGGACGATGATGACGCCCCGTCCGATCATGAGACGGACGAGATGAATCTCCCGCTCACGCTGCCAAAAAAGCTGAAGGACCTGGTGAGACTGCAACATGATGATACTGGCCCTGCGTCCATGCCACCGGGGGTGGTCCTCCTTCCGCTCCGAAGAGCAAAGGAAGAGGGGGAGTGGCTGCTCGGCCTTCGACCCCCGTCTGGCCCCCCGGACACCGCCTTCCCGTCGACCGGCTTCACTGTGAAAGGGTGGACGGGGACCCCCTCCACTGCGGCTATACTGAAGCGCCTGAAAAACTGGGTTAACGATACCACGATACCAGGAGTGCGAGGTGCGGTGCTCCCGAAGTCCCTCTCTTTCCCCCAGGGTATCGTCCCGGTGATCGTGCTCATTGACCCACGGTCACGCAGCAGGGAGCCGCCCACCTTCCGCTGGTTCTCCCACCACGATCTCATGAACCTCAGCACGGCGAGCTTTCATGCTACTAGTGCATCTGCTCTGCTCCGTGCGCTCCTCCTTATGCAAATCTTGCTGGAAGACAATGTGTTGGAGGAGCACAATCAATGGGATGACTCACCGTTTGTGCTCCCAATTAAACACTAGGACAGGACCCTACGAACACGGTGCGTAACATCTACCTGCATTAATGGCTGAGCCCGATACGCAACAGGCCACGGGCAGGATGTTGCCTACACTCTCCCGGATCCCGGGCGACCTTCCTGATGGGGGTGCAGTGCCCCCCCAACCTTTGCAACGTCCTCCCTCCCCAACCTGCTTCCCTGCCGCAAGAGCGCAGCCAAGATGGGCTGCCGCGCTGGCCCAAGCGGACCTGGACATCCGTTCAATTAATGTTAACGGCCTCATCCAGGCCACATCGGCCAAGCGGGAAGCCATCTGGAACATGGTTAGGTGCCTGATTACGGGCCAATGGCCGGATGCAGTCTGCATACAGGAAACGCATCTGCCGGCTCCACACAGGAGCAAAGCACAGACTATCTGGCCATATACAGTGTATACTGCGCCTGCCACAGCACGAGCGTCGGCCGGCGTCACAATCTGGCTCCCGCCATCGTCCTGACTCAAGCCAATTACATACGATTATGACAGGCAGCACGGCAGGTGGGTGTTCTTAAAGGCGACAATTCAAGAGGAGGAGTTGTATCTCGTATGCATCTATGCCCCCAATGACCCGAACGCCAGGATGGACCTTTGGCTCACCCTCCATCAACACCTCCCCGACGACGCCCCGCTTATCATCGCAGGCGATTTTAATACAGCCTTGGACCCGGCCTTAGACCGCCGCTCGGCGGCCCAGGGAAGGAACCCACATGCCTCACATTCGACACCAGCAGACCCGGATGTCTTTATGTTGAAACACCTCATGGCAGACAGGCAGCTGGTTGATGCGTACAGGCTGCTCCAGCCGTCCCAACGTGCATATACATGTCTGTCGTCAAGAGCTCAGCAAGGCACCACCAACTCCAGGATAGACCTGGCGCTGGTTTCGGGGGACCTCGCTGGACTCATTGTGGCGGCTGATATCGCAACCGTCAGTCCATGTAAGTCCTTTGACCACTAAATGATCATGTTGGGGTTGTCGCTCCACGGCCATATCCAGAGGGGTCCGGGTTTTTACAAACTCAACACCTTCCTCTTGCCTCTTGCTAAGTTCAAAAATCTGGTCACGGAGTTCTGGCAGTATTGGCAAACCCGCAAGCCAGCCTCGGGAGAAAGAGTGCCATGGTTCAATGACGGGATGGCCCAACTTAGAGACCGAACCAAGAAATTCTCTATGCAGTATGCGAGAGAACGTAAAGCCCTCCTGGAAGCACTCATGAGACGGTTGGAGGAGTGGGATCAGCGGCTCGCGGATGGCCCGCTGCATTAACCGACATACGAGGGACTCCAGCAAGCACGTGACCACCTCCAAGAATATATAGTCCAGCAGACTCACGCGTGGAGGATTCAGGCAGGATCAAACGCGACCACACGGAAGGGACAATGGCGAAAACCTTTTTTGCCAAAGCCAGGGCAAGGTCCAGAGCCAACACAGTGTCCCGGCTCCGCCATCCATTTGATCCCCTGGCCCCCCCCCTTTCCAATGCTTATGCTATAGTGGACTATGCCTCTAAATACTACCAGCGCCTGTTTACATCCGAAACGCCCCTCAAACCTGCGGCGGAGGTCCGACATGCCTGCAATGAGTTGTTGCAGGCGCTCCAAACTCGCCTAACACCTGCCTAGAAGGCCGAGCTGGACGCCACGATAGCCCTAGATGAACTCTGGAAAGCGCTTCATGACATTGAAGATGAGAAAACACCCGGCGTCGACTCCTTCCCCACAGAGTTTTGGGTGCAATTTTGGGACCTGCTCGACGAGGACCTTCTCGACTACGTTAGAGGGGTTCAAAGGGAGGGCACCTTCGGGGGTGTGATGGGACGGGAGGTCACTACGCTCATCTATAAGAAAGGAGACAAGGAGGACGTGCGTAACTACAGACCTATCACCCTCCTCCCGGTCCCATACAAACTGGTGGCCAAAGTTCTGACCAGCCGACTGCTGCCATTCATGAACCTGCTGATCCACCCGGACCAGACCGGATTCATGCCTAATCGCAATATCCAAGACAACATATTGCTGGTCAACGAGACCATCAAGTACGCCCGCCAATACAAGGTCCCAACTGCGGTACTATTCATTGATTTCGAGAAGGCCTATGACCATGTGGACTGGGACTTCTTGGAAATGTGCCTGGCCAGGATGAATTTTGGCCCAGCCTTCGTACAATGGGTGCGCCTCCTCCACCGATCGGCGACAACCAACGTTATGTTGAACGGCCACCTGTCGGCCCCGATTGTGTTCCACCGCTCGGTCCGACAAGGAGACCCCATAGCACCCCTGCTCTTCGTCATTGTGATGGAAGCGTTGGCATCGCTCATCAGGGCCCACCCCAAAATCCGGAAAGTCCCCGTCCCGCATCTCCCCCAACACCTCGTCCTCGTTACCTCGCTGTTTGTGGATGACCTCACTGTGCTCATTGAAGCGGATGACCAATGCCTGCGAGCTCTTACACAGGTCATCCACTCTTTCTCGCTCGCGACAGATATGAAAGTCAATTGGGGTGCTTAAACGGAAGGCTGGTGGCTGCACCCTGAAGATCTCGCACCCCCCCCCCCAGCCGCAGGTCTCGTGGGCGGCTAAAGAGTCTGCCATCAGGATCCTCGGAGTCAAACTGACGGCGCTTGGACCGCCATAGGACCACGGAGATGTGCTGGTCGACCTGGCCATTGACCGCCTCGGCCGCTGGGCGGGCCTGCACACTTCTCTGGTCGGGAGAGCACTCGCCATAAACAATGCAGTTCTGGCCGCTATCTGGTATAAGCTGGCGGTGTGGCCCCTCACCCCTAAACAATTAATGCGGCTCCGGAAGTCCCTTGCAACTTACCTCTGGAAAAACAAACTCCAC